GAGAACAGCGGAAGAATGGAATATAGAGTGAAAGAGAGAGGGAGAAAGAGAGAGAGAGAGAGGGAGAGGGGGGGAGGGGGAGGGAGGGAGAGAGAGAAAAAAGGAGAGGCAGAAAAAGAAGAGAAGGGACGTTTGAAGAGAGGAGGGGGTCGACGTCGTTTCAGTCGTCCTCCCGGATGTGCAGCATCGTTACACGGCATTCTTCGAGGCTGCGAGATCTCCCTTTCTTTCTTCCTTCGGTCGATGCGTTGACGTAACCGCGACAAAACAAATTCCTCTTCTCCACGCGCGAAACCTTTGCAATTCTCCTCGCTCCGATTTTGACTCTCCGAACCGCGTACCGCGTACGACCACCGTTCTTCTCCAAACTCCTATACGTTTCCTTATTTCTATCCTCTTACCCGTCCTCTCCTTCCATTTCCCTTTACTTTCCGAAACGATCGTATATCGCGAAACCTAACTATTTCGAAAATTACAAACTCATTTCGATAATCGCTTTATCCACTATCGCTATAGATAATTGCCAGATATCGTTACGTATTCAAATTTCTTCTCTTCTTCCTCTTCTTCTTCGCCGCGATACCTTTCGTCTCGTTCCGTCTCGTTTCGTCTGCAAGATTATTCTCTATAAACTCTCTGGATCTTATTCGAATATCGTCGTTTATGCGAGGAATCGTGGAATAATCGCAAGGATAATTTTATCGCGTCGAGTAGCGGATTAATATCGCGCGCCGTTATCCAATATCGATATACTAAGTCGCGAAGGAATTTTTGAAAGGCGTCGCAGCGTCCGAGTGGAATAGGTTATCGGACCAGCCGGATTTTCCGGGGGTTGTCGAGGGCAACGAAAAGGTGGCCGAGGAGGCGTAACATTAATCACGGGACAGGTATGTGCGAGGACTCGAGGTCGAAATCTTTTTTTTCCGAAAGAACGATGATCCACAATGGACTCCTCGGAATCCTCCCTGCTTACGCTTACGCGTGATCGATCGAAGAAAGGATCCTCCTGAAAAGTTACCGGCTCCTTCCTACCCACCTCGGGGACCTATTAAATCTTCCATTCGAATTCCAAAGAATCTCCTTCCAAAAGAACCACCGACGCGATATTTTTCCAGTGAAACGTTTCAATGCCCCGAGCCTCGGATCTGCCGTTTAAACTCGTGTCAACATTTTTTTTTCAATCTCTTTTTCTTTTTTTCTTTCTTTCTTTCTTTTTTTTTTTTTTTCCTTTTTTTCTTTTTTTTACCCTTCACACCGCCAAAACAGCTGTCAAATCTTTTCTCCTCTTCTCCTTCTTTCTTTCCTCTTTCCTTTCCTCCGCTTTATCGAAAGTCTCCGCTTATCGATTACGTCTTGAACGGTACTATACTCTCCGGTATACTCGATCCTCCTTCCAATTCCAATTCGAACTGCAAGGAACTGGAGGGAAAAGAAAAGGAGAAAGGAAGGAAATGAAAGAGAAAACGACGATAAATGGAATAGACGATAGCATTTGCGAAATACGATGCCGGCGAATGTGGTTAACGACGAGTCAGCTGATACGATTCACGAATCCTTCCATATTTCCGTCTTTTCTTTCTCTCTTTTCTTACGGGAGATCCTTTGGAAAGGAAAAAAGGAGGCAGAAGGAAAAGATGGAGCATAAGAATCGGTGGTACTCATAAGCCAGCCAGGATATAACAGGTAAAACAGGTTTGTGGGCGTCCAGAAACGTGGACTACCTGCATCGGTTCTCGAAGGGGTCCTTCTTCAAACTCGCCTGCCGATTCTTGCGGAAGAAAACGGAAGAAAGGGGAGAAACGCGGCACCTATGCACCTGTTCGTTAAGTAACGACGGTTAACGTCTCTAAACTGACGCGCGCGCACCGTGATTTTTATCTTCAAAGAAACCGTACGACGCACGAGCAAGAAATTTCAGCTTTCGATAAAAATGGCGTTGGAAATGACCGAATCGTTCGCCGGCGACTTTGTACGTTCGCGTACACGCGGTGTTTCGAAAGGACGACTCGTAGAGAAAATATCCGGGCAATCGAGTGTTCCGCGTTGATCGAGGTAAATCGAAGTTTAGTCAGCGGCAGACGCGACGCGCCGCGACGCGCCGCGACGCGCCACGACGTAACTTAATCGCCTATGCAAACGATAAGATTCGCGAAAAGGCGAATCGACGAGAAGGAGAATTAAATCGGGCGACGATAGAAAGGAAGAAAAGGAGAGATTACTTTTTAGAGGTCGTTGGAATATCGACTTCTTATCTCTTATCAGCTTATCAGAATTATTCGAGGCGCGATTACTTTCCGTCAGATTCGGTGATCTAACGTTTTATCGGCTCGACGGATACCTTGCCGGCTAACGAAACTCCGATATTCTTTCTATTCCGAGTAAATCGGATCGTCTCTTACGAGTTCGTTAACCCTCGATCGGACCTCGTCCACGCTTCGATTCGTTCCATCGTTTTTCCGGCACCATCGATTTCTACGTTTTAGTTATCTTTATTCCGACGAAACGTGTTCGCCAATGTATAAAAAAGAAAAAGAAAAAGAAAAAGAAAGAAAAAAAAAAAAGGAAGAAAGAAAAAAATTAGGCTTTTTCCCGTACCCGGAAGAATCGTCGGTCTTATGCCGACCAGAGACTATGAACTTTCTCTTATAAACGCAACGTTTCCGTAATTCAAAAATTTCGTTCCATCCGAATTTCAAAGGTAGAGGAAAAAGGAAGCGAGCAAGTTTCCCTTAAGATCGATCATTTTCGCGTTACGCGAACCAGCAGCGGCGACCGATAACCTATAATTTCGTCGTTTCCATTTAAAAGGATACGCGTTGACGCGTTAAAGAGAAGTAAAAAAGAGAAAAGGAATAAAGAAATAAAAGGAAAAATAAGAGAAAAATTGGATGGACACTCGGGGAAATTTGCGTGGATCGAAAGACGAAAAGGGAGTAACGAAAATAGATTTCGATCGATCGAAAGGACGATACCGAGCTCGAGGGTATAGAGATGGGTGCTCGCGAAACGGCAGGTCCACGTCGACAGTCAGGATCGCGATTACGAGGAAGCTACGAGGAAGTCGGTAAAACCCCCTCCAACGTCCCATGGTATTTCCCACTCGATTACAACGCTTCGATTATTTCCGTTCGCGCCGTATAACCAGCTATCTATCTATCCTCGTTCGACTCGAAGGGTCGCGCGTTCCGGTGGTCCATTTGTCTCCGTTCGTCGAACGCGTTATACGGCGCGGCAAGTGGCGCGCATGCGCTCTGTCGCTAGTCTCTCGCGGCGTGCGAGAGCGGAGTGGGAGGTATGGCGGCAAGCTTCCAGCGGAGATCGCGACCGCGGTTCAGTCGCTCGCCAGCTCCGAAATCGAGTGGGTTAATTTTGTCGCGTACTCGTCGTTGTCGTCGTCGTCGTTGCCGTCGTCGTTGCCGTCGTCGTCGTGACTTTCAAAGCTCGCGAGACGAATCGAATCGTGTTGGAGGTGAAAGGAGATCCGTTTCGTGTTTCGCATCCTCCTCGAATTTGGCTACTACTACTACTACTACTACTACTACTACTACTATTACCGCTGCTGTTGCTACTACTGCTACTGCTACTACTGCTACTGCTACTACTCCCTTGTAAACCTCCTTCGTGTTTCGCATCCTCCTCGAATTTGGCTACTACTACTACTACTACTACTACTACTACTACTACTACTACTACCGCTGCTGTTGCTACTACTGCTACTGCTACTACTGCTACTGCTACTACACCCTTGTAAACCTCTGATGATAACCTCGCCTCGAGAAGACTCGGCGAGAAAGAGAAGCAAGAGAGCGAGAGGAAGGGAGAGTGATTCGAGTGGTGCCGACTGTGATACACTTAGCCGCGTAGATAGCCGCGCTCTGTGATATACGCGTACACACGCATGGATATTTCGATACCTCTGAACTTTTCTCCCACGGACACCGAAAGCTGATGTTCGCGTAAAGATATCCCAAACCGTTCGTCGCGGACCCTATTTCTGTGCAAATGTATATATATATATAAATACACGCATATATATATATATATACGTATCTGTGTGCGTGCGTGTGTGTATATACATATGTATGTATATATATGGGGAAATCTACGCGATCGTTGAAAGATATCGAAAGGAAAATATAAATAAATACGTATAGAAGGTGCGAAGGGAAGAGGACAGAGAGGGGAAAAGAGAGGGACAGAGAAAGATAGAGACGGGTAGCGGAAGAAAAGATACACGTGCGCGTGGTTGGTGTCTCGAGGATACCTGTGGATGCCGGACTGGAGTCGCGACATATTAGGGCGCGGATTTCTGCCCGATGACCACCGAGGAGATTCGTTTCTACTCGCTAGCCGATCTTCGACGCTGATATTACGCCGCATCGGACGGTTTATCGGCTAACCCACGATCGAGGTAACCACGTTTTTTTTTCTTTTTTCTTTTTTTTTTTCTTTTTTTTTACTTTCCTCGTCCTCTTCTCGTTTAAACTTTCGCGTAGCCGCTACTCGCCAACCGACCGCTACTTTTTAAATGGCCACGCGAACCGACCACCGCTCGTTCGTCTCCTCGTTATTCCATTTTTCCCACAGTTGCCGCGCTATTACTCCGTTTATTCCTACATTTTCGTCCATTTCGTCGATTCGTAATTCGAATTAATCCTTTCAACGGTCGGCGATGCGTTACGTAATATTATAGGTAATATTATAGGTAATATTATAGCGGGAAGATGGATCGCCGTTTTTATTTATATTCCTTTTTTTCCATTTTTTATCTTAAGAAGAAGAAGAAGGAGGAGGAGAAGAAGAAGAAGAGGAGGAGGAGAAAAGAAAAGGCAAAGAGATTTGCGTACGCGCCGCGGACAACCTGCTTCTCGTAATTTCGTAAATTACCGTTCAAGTTTAACAATGCCCGTTGCGATCGAGATTCCCGTTGTTATCGGGTGTACGCGGTAAAAGAGAAAAGGTTAAAAAATTCGCAAGTATTCTCCGTATTTACACGCGCGTTCGTCGTATACGACGCGTATCGGCAAAGTTTAACGTTATCGCGGTTTATCCATTTTTTATCATATTGAACAGGATGAATTATGGAATGGATTATTCTTCTCGGTATGCTTTGTCATTCGAATTAACGATTTTGTTGGAGGAAAATCGGCTGGACGAGGGTCTCTCGAGGGTTTTTCGAGGGTCGTCCAACGCCGAGAGAAATTCACGCAGCCGATGATTTAACGATACACCGGATCGCGTGTATCCGGCCGCGACGATCGAAATATTCGGCTTGCCGTAAACAAACCTCTTGGACGTCGCGTATTTCCTACTTCTCCGCTTAATAACCCTTCCCTCTTTTCCCCTTATGCAGCGAAACGCGTAAACCTCGCCGGTATTTACCAGCGAGATACCTTTTTAACCCAATGTACCCTCGAAACGTACAATTTCTTAGTCGATTAATCGATTAACGGGAGGAATAAAAGTAACGACTGGCGAGGAAATAAAAAGTATCTGCGAGGTTCGAGGATCGGAAGGAGATGGAAGGAGTACGGGAGGCGATTAGGCAAGGAATATAGGACGAAAGGGTATAAAGTGGTGGGGATAAGGAAAGAGGAGAAAAATTGACTTTAACCTCTTTGTCCCCTGTACACTTGGATTTGCAACTGTGCGAAGGATTTACGTACCTCTTCCTCCCCTCCCGTTCTCTTTTCCATCCACCGACACGCACGCACGTCGCACGCACGCACGCACGCACGCACGCACGCACACAGCGAACCAGCGCCCTAGCGTGCGCGACGCGACGGCTAAGCGGAGCGGCTGTTGCTTACGCTCGTTGATCGTTATTCAGGAAGTTGCACGTTATCATTTACATAACACGTGAGCTCGAACAAAATCATGCATAATTCCTTCCTCCTTAGCGCGGCCGCGTTACCACTTCTCTCTTTATTTTCCTTTTTTTTTTCCCCCGGCTAGGAAAAAACGAGAGGAGTCTGTGCGTCGCCTCTGTTCGTCAAAGTCGAGCTTCTCGCGAATCTCCGTCGGACAAGCGTCTCCTTTATCTCTACGTCCGCGTTCGCTCGTGCCTATTCACCGAGATCCGGGAAGCGGTTCTCTCTTCGACTCGCGCGACTCGCGCGCCTCGCTCCGCCACAATTTGCCCCATCTTTCTCATCGAGTTACGTATCGCGAGCTTTCAGCCGATCCGTCTTATCGGTCCACCTTCCTTCCACCTTCGTTCTTCGTTACGCCGCCGTTATCCACCACGTTCCGTTTATCCCGTCTCGTAATTTTTACTCCGCGAATTAACGCGCCAACCCGATATACCTATGATACTGGTATATATGCTATAGGAGGGAGAAAAAATCGAGTATCCGGAGAGCGAAGGAGGAGGGCGGAGGTTGGCTGGAAAGATGTCGGCGTGGATTTTCTATCGGAGCACGAGAGGGCTGATAAGAGGTTAAAGGGGAGAACGGGCGTATAGAAGGAAGAGGAAGTGGGAGGACGGGAGCGCATGGGGGCGCATGGAGGCGCATGGGGGACGAAGGGAGAGACGGGAGAAGAAAGCCTTTGGAAAGGTAATTCCGGCCGGAAGAGCCGGGAACCCGGAAGCGCTCGGGAGGAAGCACTACGCTGGCAGGGTGGCAAGGGGGATGGAAAATTCTCCAGCGCCTCGAGGGAGAGGGCTCGATCGATCGTTAAGATCACGGGACAGCGAGGTGTCGACGTCTAACCACCGGCAAATTTCTACCCGCCACGCTCCTCCTTCTTTCGTTATCGTTATTCTTCTCGACCAGCCTTTCGCTCTTTTATTATTTTCCGTTTCTTCTCCAAGCTGTTCGCGCCTTCTCGCTTTAGCCGAAAACCCTCCGATCGATCCAGCCGTTAATCGAGCTTTAACGTAACCCAAGTTGCTCGCCGATAAGTACGCGACGTTTCTTTGCTTTTGCTTTTACGCGACCTTCTCCTCGAATCGAGTACGAAGAAGAAGAAGAAGAAGAAAAAGAAGAAGAAACGATTCGTAAGTTTTACCGCGCGCTTCTTTCCTATAAGCCGTGTCGGGAAAAATAACGCACACGCGTAAACGCTGATATAGGGACGATAAAACCGAGTACGAAACAAAACGCGTGTTATTACGTTATTCTATCCGCGTGTGTGCAAATTTCAATCTTACGCGCGCGAATAAGCGCCGTTCTACGCTCCTTTCTCCCGACGAAACTTTTCATTCCCGCGGAAGAAACGAAGCTTCCTATTCTTGCGCGGATCTCGCGTTGATCTTACGAAAATATCGATCCCGAAACGGGCTACGTATTCGTCAACGCTTTCCGTACCATCGTCCTCGCGTCGAGATGAAATTTTTCTCTCGTTCAAACGATCGAATCGATCGAACCACGCTGATAAGTTATTTCGAACGACGTATTACCATTTTTCGGTAATCTCTTAAGATTCGAATCGCGAGAACGAGTATATACGTACTTATCGCGAAGGTGTCTGAAATTTTCGGTCGGAACGCGCGTTTTCTCCGTTTCGTTTTTCCGCCACGCGTTCAAACGCGCGTAATTTTAATCGAACAAATCGGGATCTTTGGTCCCTTTCATTGGCGACATTTTTTACTTTTCCTAGAATTTCCTTGACCATTTTTTCTTTTTTTCTTTTTTTTCCACTTTGCCACCGAGGTAACACGTACGTAAATTAACTTTTTAGTCTCGCGATGGGAACAACGAGTTGGTAAAAATTCGCGTTGAAGAAAAGAATCCGAGCAAGGAGGAATAAGATGCGTAATTTGGAGGAGGAAAAAAATAAATGGCATAACGAGAAACATTCCAGAATACGTGTCCGGCTATGCGTTTCCTTCTCTACGCGAGGAAGAGAACCGGTCTGTATCCGGACCGGAAGCGCGGACCTTGGACTTTTCTTTTTCGCTATGTCCGTCTCGTTCTATCGCGTTCTTCCTTCGAAGAATTCGACGAGCGCGGTCAATTCCATCTTCTTCTTCTTCTTCTTCTTCTTCTTCTGCTTCTTCTCTCTTCCCGTTGCTTCCCCCCCCCCCTCTCTCTCTCTGTCTCTCCCGCTCTATCTCTGTCTCTTTCTCCACTCTTCTCGTGTCTCTTGCTTCCTTTTCCCTTTCTCCGCGTTTCTTAGCGAGCCGTCTCTTAGCCGAGGTGTCCCTTCTTTCTCGTTCGTCCGGTTAATTCCAAGAGGGAGCAAAAGGAAGCAGACGGTCGCGATAGATGGCATCCGGTTCCCTTCGTTCGAGGAAAACTGGAGGAGGAAGTCGCGTTTAAAATACCTTCCTCGCTCTTCCATCGATTCGTTTTTCTTTTTCTCTTTCTCTTTCTCTTTCTTTTTCTTTTCTCTCCTTCGAAACCACCTCCTTTGCCAGTCGAAAACTATAATCTCGCGCGCATGCGAGATACCGTGGAACCTTTACGATCTCGGCTCGAGCCTTCGCTCGTCGTCTTCTCGCGGAGATAAATGCTCCGTAATTTATTTTTCGTATTCGCGCGATAAGACGTTTACGCGTCGAGTATCGGGCGTTTAATCGGAGAAGCGCGTAACGGAAAATACGCGTAGGAAATCTCAGCTGATCGGTAATTTCGCCGGTTACGGACAATCGCGAAAAGAAAGCGACGTTGTCG